CCACCCCCCAGCTGGACAGCATGTTCCCCAGCCCCACTCCCTCCCTCACCATGGGGGATGTTGATTTGCCCTCCCTGCCCTCCCCTTTCACCCCAACAGACTTACCAGCTGCACGCAGTTGTATCAGAAATTGAATCGGTATCAGCCGATATGCCTCCTTAAAAATCAGCTATCGTTATTGGCCCCCAAAATCTCTATTGGTTCACCTGTAATGAGTCAGATTGGTTGTGTGGAGAGGTCTGTATTTCATTTTTAGTTGCAGTCTATGGGCTTTATGCTACTTTCAATCCAAACTGTAGCTGAAACTCGTGAATGGGAGGTTTTTACAAAAGTCAAGGGTAGAAATGTTGCATTTACTTTTTCAGTGCTTTCGTCATAATGAGCATCACCCTGTATGAAAGTGTTCTTCCTTTAACAATCAGCATTATTTCTCCCCTTTGTTTCTTTTAGCATTCCCGAAGCCATTTTGTATTCTTTCATCTTCTGTGTTTGTCTTCAGTTGATTCCAGTAATCTTCCATGTTACTTTCATTCTTGACTCATTCCATTTTCTAAAATGAGCAGGAAGGAAAGAATTAATCTTGATGCTTAAATGGCTTAAGAGTTCACCGAGCATTCAGGAAATGCTCATGGGACTTGGGTGAGATCACACTTTTGAGCTATTGGTTAAGGCTATTTGCCGACTCCAAAAGAGACCGCCGCCTTGGTTTTAGCACAGTTCAAATTTGGTAGGTTATTTTTTTTATTTTGACAGCTAGATGCTTCTTATTTTTTAATGAAAGCGTGGCATCTGTGGAATCTGTCCATGCTGTGCCACAGGGGTCAGAAACCTTTAAGGAGCATTGAGCGGAAATAAGGTACCTGGCTCTAAAAGGTGGTCCCTGTTGTCCTTGCTCTGTGCCAAGAGCTGCTCCCTTGCTCTTGCATTCCGCTGGTGCCACCCCTTGACTGCTAGCACCGGCTGCCACCAGTGACAGATTTGGTGATGAGAGAAGAGACAGCTACAGGAGAGGAACGTGAAAGAGAGTAGGGAGGAGTGGGGTGGCAGCAGGCAATACTGCAGAAAAACTGTTCAGGGGTACAGGGATATTACTGCCACTCTCCCTGCCACAGAATTGCTGATGATTGTCCCAAATCTGCAGGCCTGATTCAGTCACTTGACAGATCTGGTCTTCGGGCCATGAGTTGCCAACCTTTGCTCTGCAGGTATAAAAATACATCTGGTGGGCTGGAGGATATTAAATTTGGTATCTTTGTACCTAATAATTGCATGATGTGATACTGTGATGTTGTGATTACTGTACTATATGTTAGGTTAGGAATCACTTTTAATATCCAGTGAATTTGTATAACAGAAATTTAATTGAGAGTCAAACCCACAACAATCAAGGACAGTCTTTATTAAAGAGGAGCTCTGGCATAGCTAGAGCGTTTCTGCTTTCTTGGTTATAGACAGATGCCTTAATGATTGGCTGTTTTTGTTTAAGAACTATAGCAACAAGAGTTTAAGGAAAATTGGTTCAGATTCTAATAAATTACATTCTCTGTTTAGCTAATGGTGATTGGAATTGTACTTGCATATTCGGAGGAGTCCTGTGTGAGATTTCTCTGGATTGTACAGATCAGAATTTGGTTTAATGATGTTATTCTTTTCCTGTCTTTGGCCTGGTGTTTGGAAATGTATATGCTCTTCTGTTTGTAAACAAACAATGAGGACCACTTTTCTGTTTGTAGTGTTGTTCACATAGGGTAAGTAATAAGGGTTTTTTTGATAATTGTTTTTCCTGTTTTTAACTTTTTTCTGTTTATAAGTTTGATATATCAGAGGGCTGCCTTCTTGGCTGAAATTTGACACAGTTTAAGGCCCCCAGGAGAAGGACGTTTTTATACCTATGTATTTAAAAGTTGCCGGTTATTTTTGAGTCTGAAGAATTTCTCCCCAGATGTGTGTGCCGGGCAAGTATGCTTATCAACTAGATTGTAAATGCCTTAGAAAAAGGACTATGTCTCTATCAGGGGGGCTGGCTCCCTGCTGCTTTGCACAGTCCTGGAGGGGAAAGGAGGAGTGTGTATCCTCCAGATTTGTGCACGGGGCAGGGGCAGGCTGCCCACTGCAGGCTTGGGCTGTCTGCTCTGCTGCCCTCCTCCTGGGGGCTCCATGGCCCAGTGTGTGGGACCTGGTGCGTCAGGGCAGAGCAGAGCCAAGTGGAAAAGCTTCTTGCTACTGGGAGCCCCATGCCACCATGGCAAAGCCCCCCCGCCTGCTCGGCAGCAGCAGAGGTGGCGGCGCAGGGTTGTGCCCTTTGCTGCTGCTGGGTGGGTGGGGCACCTTCCACGGTGGTGTGGAGCTCCCAGGAGTTTCACAAGCTTCCCCATCTAGTCCCATTCTGCCTTGCTGTGCCAGGTCCTGCCTGCTGGGCTGTGGAGGCCCTTGAGGGAGGGCAGCAGGGTGGGGAGCCTGGGTCTGCAGCATTTGGCTGCCTGTCCGCAGTATGCCAGTCACTTCTGGATTCTGGTCTAGCAGCCAACCCTCCTGTAGCTGAGCTGCATCTCAAATCATGCCTTGACCTACCTGATTTGTCTCCCTTCATACCTGTGCAATACACTTATACTCATCCCTAGTAACGTGGTCAAGTTTCCACTTTCTGTAAAATTCATTTTTGAGTTTTAGCTCACTGAAATATTTGCCATTTTGCTAGACTGGCCTCTTGCTGCATTTCCTATCCTCGTTTCACCTTGGGATAGTTTGCTTTTCTACCCTTGATATAGTCTCCTTAAAGCACAATCAATTTTTCTGGACTGCTTTTCCCCTCCAACTTCTCACCCTTGGAGTCCTGCCCACCAGTTCTCTGAGTGCTGTCTTACCTGTTGGAGTCCATATAGCTATGTGGCATTACAGACACTTTGGAGACTAGGATTAGGATTCAGCATTATTTTGATAAACCAGAGAAATGCTCATGAATTAATCAAATGATTAATTAAGTAAAGACAAGTGCAAACTCCTGTACTTGGGACAGAACAATCACATACACAAATATGATAAGTTTAGGCTGCAGTATTGTAGAAAGGGACCAGAGGATTTGAGTAGACCACAGGCTGAGTATGAGTAAACAGTGTGCTCTTATTGGGGTGGAGAAGCCAATATTGTACTGGGTTGTATTAACAGGAGTGTCACATGCAGATCAAGTGAAAGTGATTCTTTCACTTCATTTAGCACTGGTGAAGTCTCACCAGCACTTCAACTTAGACATAGGAAATTTAGAAAGAGATCAGCAGAGACTGATAATAATGATAAGAGGTCTTGGAAATGTGATTTATGGAAAGATGTTCAAAGAATGGGATTTATTTAGTGTGTAGTACAGAAGTTCGGTGGATTTGATAACAGTCTTCAGATGCTTTAAGAAGGGTAGTTATAAAAAGGATGGATTGTAGTAGATCAGGGGTGGGCAATTATTTTGGGCAGAGGGCCGCTTACTGAGTTTTGCCAAGTCATTGAGGGCTGCAGGGCAGGCAGTCAGGGACAGATAAATATTAATTTTCTAAATTTTTAGGGGCCCCGTGAGCCGGATAGAATGGCCTGACAGGCGGCATTCAGCCCGCGGGCTGCATTTTGCCCACCCCTATAGCAGATTGTTGTCTCTGGCCACAAGGAACAGGACAAGAAGTAACCGTCTTGTAACTAGGGACATTTAGGTTGGATGCAGTATTAGTAGGATTTTTTTTCACTATGAGGGTGCTTAAGCATTTATGGAGTTGCCATTCTTGAAAGTTTTCAAGACCAGGTTAGACAGACACCTGTCTGGAATTGTTCAAATAAAGATGATCTTGCCTTGAGGGGGGGATTGCACCAGATGACCTTTCGGTCTTTTCCTGTCCTTTTTTTCTATGATTCCAAGATTTTTGCAATATATTCCATTACAAATATCCTATGTTAGTTGGTTAATCTTGCTTTTTATGTAAATCAAGACTTTGTTATGTTATTGCCATTTAAATGTATATTGATGTATATGCTCAAGTCTTTTTTTTTTTTTGAGAACTGTACATGCTCTTATAGGAAATTAATAAAGATTCATAATTGTTTCACTGATTTAGTTTGCCCCAATATGGTTTAGTGCCAAAAATATATTTAGTATAGTTTTAAATGTTTTACATTAATTTAAAACAGCAGGAAAAATCAGTTTAAAATTAGTTTGTGGGTAGAATGATAACAGAATCCTTACTGAGTGATACTTTTTATTGGACCAGCTGCATAGCTTGTAGAGATTTAGACTAGCTGCAGAGCACCCTTCTTCAAGTGAGACCTGAGGAAGGGTATCTTATGCTTGAAAGCTTGTTTAAATCTCTCCCAAATATACAGTTGGTCCAATAAAAGTCATTGCCCACAAAATACTTGTGTTGTATATTTCCAGGACCATCATGACTAGAACAGTCCTTTAAAACTACCACAAAATCCTAACTGTCATATATGTTCTAATGATGGCATTTAACACTCTAGTATGCTTAACAAACTGTACAATGTTAAGGGGGATTTTTTTTGTTTGGTTTGGGTTTTTTTGCAAGTTGTTTGTCACGTTTAGGTAAAAAGAACTAGGGACCTTAAGAAAATATGGTTAATTATGTAAAAATACTGTGATATCAAAATAGCTAGCCAAGTCATTAGAGGGTTAGGTTTCTAAAGCTGGAAAATGACTGCAATTGGTGGTACTGAGAGAGCTATTTCTTTTTCAGTAAACACTGTTTCAAATTTTCGATATTTTCCATTGTTATATAGGGCAATATCTATCACACAGTTGGCATTGTAATACAAGACTAATCAGGGCTTGGTTTGATAAGAGCTAAAAGAATCTGCCTTACCGCTGGAATTTCAGAAGTCTTCCATATTTTAGTTGATATGAATAGTGTGTTTACTAGGCATTATGATTATAAACATCATATATGATGTGTAATCAATAAGTAACTGTTACATTAGCCTGCATTAGCTTAAATTAGCTTGCATACCTACTGGTGTCTGGCTGCTTTACCATTCCATCCAAGTAGAGCACAGACCATCTGCAGATGCTTCTTCAGCTTGACAGTGGGTGTTTGTGTCTAAAACCTTGCTAAGCAGAATTTTTCCAAATAGTTGAGTTGGTTTAATAAAAGATACTGGATTTACCCAAAGAATCTTGTCCTTAGACCAACACAGCTACAACCTACACCCATTAGCCTGTATTAAAATTTCATATTTAGAAATATTCCTAAGTATTCTTAATAATAAACAGGATTGTCGTTTCCTTCCCTGTATAGCCATATTAAAGACTTCTTGTTAAGCAAATACTGTTTTTTTTTGTGTGAGGTAGTACACTAAATAGAATCTCTTTTATATAATGTTGAACTTATTTTCCTCATTGAATGCAATGAAAATGTTGTAATGCTTTGAAAACTTAAATGCATGAAAATCTTGACATTCCAACTTATAAGTCTTATAGCACATCATACAGTGACATGCATTTTGTTTCCATTTTTTTAAACTTTAATGCTTTTTTAAATTATAAAAAAAAGTAGGATGTCACAGAAGGAATGTATTGCTTGACATCTGCTTTTTGAAATTAACATGCATTTTAACCTGACAGTATTTGTCTAATTATAACTTTGTTAGCTATTTCTACAATGTATTCAGATTAAACATGAGCATTTTACTTTAATTTGAGGATTGTACCTTCATTTTTTTTTATATTTAAGATAAAATTAGGTCATGAGTTATGCAGATGCATTAAAATACAACTTTATGTGATATTTGAGTAAGGTTTGCAAAACGGAAAGTTAAGTAGAGGAATATTCAATAAACTTTGGATCTGCACTAGTGGAAAGACTGCTTTTTGTCTTGATTGTTGTTGTTATGTTAACTGTCAGCATAATATTGCTTAATTATTTAGACCTTCACTTTTTCCTCGTCATAGAAGTTGTGAAGTAATTGGGACTATTTGCATCAGACTGTCTGATGAACACCCAAGACAGCTTGGGGATAATTTAAATATAAATTATTAAAATGTGCTTTTTGACATCTTTTTCCTCAAAAGATGATGATGATTTTCTTGTTTGTTTCAGTCGCTGGATGACTTAAACAAATGGAGTCTACTTCTTATAACTCCCTTTATTTATGCTGATAAAATAGTTGAAGCAGAACAGATTGCATTTGTGACAGAAAGTATTTCTGCTCAGACAGATGATTTACAGAATATATCTAGCTCTTCAAAAAAGGTAAGTGACTGTTAATTTCTTTAAAAGAACGTAGTTATGACAAATTTCATGTACTGATATTAACTGTCCAAGAAATTTTGAAATTAAAATTAATGCTTAATAAAGTAGATATCTGTATAATGGAGATAAGGAACATAGATGATGTAAGTTTGATCAAGATTGTAACCTCCTACTGTATCTACTTCTTGAACAATGATTGCATCTTGAAGCATAATACAATGTTCTCTTACTGCGTGAGTGAAGGGAAAATTGGATTTGTGAAATAGGAAGAGAAATAGGCTGGGCATTGATTTATATTAGCTTGTTAAACTTAGGAAGGTTGTACTTCATTATTCCTGTAGAAGACTCTCTTCTGCCATACTGAGTGAGCATCCCTACCTTCTGTTATCAGTGGTCTCCATTTTTGGTATATTCTGGGTAGAACCTGTTTGCCTTTCTGTGCGTCTCTTTGACAAGTTTGGTTAGTAAAGAAGGATGATTTTGTGGTCAACTCACAGAGTTAGGAATGACAAGATTTTGAGATTTTATTCTTTTTTGCCTTTCAATATGATCTTGAGTAAATCATTTTCAGGGCCTACTTTTTTTTCAAATGTACTGAACAACTGCAAAAGTAGCTGAAGTAAATGAACTCTAGGGTTTGGCATTTCTTAAAGATGCTGATTCAGCAAGGTGTTTAACTTCTGAGTGTCTGAATAAGCTAATTAAAATTAGTACTGAAATGAGGTCCAAATCAGGTTCATCTTCCTGTAAAATGAGCAGCAGACTTCAATTTATCTATCTCACAAAGGGTGTTAAAATTAAATTTTCAATATTTGAAAATGTTCTTGAGGTCCTTCATGGATTAAAAACTGGAATATATAGTAATAACACAATCTTCATAACAGATCTGTTTTATTACAATAGGCAATTTTAAGTAGGAGACAAATATAAAACTAGGGGTACACCACTGAAGATTTTTTGGGCCAGCACCAATGGCCGATTATTAATGAGCCATATCGGCTGATACTGATCCGATTGCTGATATGCAGCCCAGCAGCTTGCAGAGCAGCATCCAGCTGGTAGGTCTGTTGGGGTTGGGGGGGAGGCAGATTGAAGCCCCCATGGTGATTGAGGGTGTATGGCTGGGGCAGGGGTAGGTGCTGCCCAGCCAGGGTGGCTTGCGGGACAGAGCTGCAAGCAGCTTGTCCAGGGGGTATGGGGAGGGAGGGGGGTGGCAGCTTCTGCTGCTGTGTGTACCCTCAGAACAGGCATAGGGGGCATTTCCCCCCTGCATCTGTGTGTGGGGCAAGGGTAAGCTGCTGCTGCAGGCTGGGACCAGGGGCTGCACTAGGCTCTTTCTGGTGTGGGGGTTGGGCTGGGGCTGCACTTATGACGGGTGGTGGTGGTGCTGGAACTGGGCCTATGAGGTGGGTTCCCCTGTAGACCTCCCCAGCACTGCTGCCACCTGCCCTGAGCACACCCCCAGCCCACCAACCCCACCAGGTACAGTCTAGTACATCCCCTGACTCCAGTCTGCAGTCCATCCTTGCTCTGTGCACAGATCTGGGAGGCTAATGTTCCCTATATCTGCCCCAGGGGTGCATGCACCAGCAGGAGCTACCCCCAACTCCCCGCAGCTCTTTCCTGCACCCTGCCCCAGCTGGGCAGTGCCTGCCCCTGCCCCAGCCCCACTCCCTCCCTCAAAATGGGGTCCCTTGATCTGCCCCCCCTACACCCCTTCCCTCCCCTATGCTCCTTCACCTCGACAGACTTACCAGCTGGATTATGCTCTCCAAGCTCCTGGGCTGGCTGCATGAGTGCTGCTGCTGTGTGCGTTCAGACATCATTTATTGGCAGCACTATCAGCCATATCAGACAAAAAAGCTGATTGCCAATAATGTCAATTTTCCTTTTATCGGTGCTGATGTGATATAGACCAATGTATTGGTGCACTTCTATATAAAACAAATGTCTTCTTTATTATCATGGTTGATGCATGCTGTATTTTCAAAAACATTGGCTGAATAAGAATATTCTGACATCTGAATTATTGGTTGCATAAAACCTCTAAGCTATATATGCATAAACAATAGTTATCCACATTTTATCACAGTTTCATATGAATCTAGGACAATTTCAGCCTCCCTTCTGGATATTTGCTTTTATAAACTCTTCTGCTCATTCAGATGAGGTAGAAATATGTATTTATGATTTTATTTATGTGTGTGTGTGTGTGTGTGTACATGCACATGAATGTGCATGTATGCGCACACCCACATAAATCAAATAGCTGAAAATTGTTTCCTAATTTCACTAATTTACTTACAGTTCATAAGTTAACAGTTTAGTGCCCAAAAGGACCATTTAATCATTTAACTCAACCTTTTTTATAAAATAAGCACTTGAACTTCACCCAGATACCCCTTTCTCTAATTCAATAATATATATTTTGACTGACTTATGATTGGAATGAAATTATCCAATATTTTAGCTATGTTTAAGACCTCTTTTTAAAATGTAGCAATTATAAGTAAGTAGTCTTAGTTCAACTGCCTGGTTGAGTCTCTTTAACAATTTTGGGGCTGTTTTCTTACCAAGTCAGTTAAAATCTGAGCCCTCCAACTTTGTCATGCACATCTAAACTCTAGCACAGTGTTTCCCAACTGGTGTGCTGTCAGCCACGTCCAGGTGTGCCATGGAATCTTGGGGGCGGTGGGTCCCAAGGATGTGTGACTACAGGCAGTAATGCCACCGCCGCCCGTGCTGTCACTGTGCCTCGGCCAGCCCTGTGCCCATACCCCCCCTCCCCTGCTCTCCGTTTGGCCGCTTGCCAACCGCCCCCCTTCAGTGTTCAGCCCCCCCTCTTCCCCCTCCACCTTGGCTCAGCATTTGGCTGCTTGCAACCGTGCCCCCTGCATTCGGCTGGTGTGCTGAGGGGCAGAGAAGGCTGGGTAAGTGTGCCGTGGGGCAGAAAAAGTTGGGAAATGGTGCTCTAGCACAACATTAGACTTCATTTACTCAGGAACTGCAAATAAACCTGAGGCTCTGTATCTGACGCTGTCTTCCTTCATTAGTGGATTACATTAAAGTAATATAATAAATTAAGAAATAATAATGCTAAATTTTTTTTGAGTATTTGCTGAGGTAGTGGCAATTAAAATAGACATTTTTCCAAGAATTAATTACTTTTCGGATTATTAAAATATGGTGTTAAAAAGACATTTTAATTGTCTGTTGTGTTTAGTGGAAAAAGGGAAAACTGTACCAAAACACTCTGGTGACAATAGTTTCAAAATATTTGTAGTATTCTGTAGGGAGTTCATTTGTCTGCCAGTATTTAAAAAGGCTCTGCTGCGAAGGTTAACTTAATCTCACAAATAGTCTGTGTATTTGAAATTCTTAGCATACTATAGACTTATGTTAAAATATTTTTTATCTATCTGTATGGCTGAATTTATTTTTGTGTTCCTGCCCTGGTCTTCTTGAGAAGATACAGATTTTTCATCAGGCTTGACAATTAAATGTTGATGATTTATTTTTTGTCACTTTTAAAAACCTTCTCTCTAAACTTTTTAGTTATTCCCGTAGTATGTTTTCCTGGCTCTAGAATAACAGCTTGGTGCAAACTGATATACTCTTCAGATAGAAGTCTAAGAGCATCACTTTTATAGTGCTTCTATTACCAACTTCCCAGTGATCATGGTTATTGAAGTTGCTGTAGAAGTTTGCTGTGTTCCATTTATGATTTTGAAGGCTATATAAAAGTAAGACTCTGACTAACTTACCCTTTCTGCTGCTTGTCTCTGCATTCTTCTTAACATATTTGAGCTGAAAGACATGCTGCTGCTCTGAATTGAAAAGGGAAGTGAAGAGATTTAGCTGCAGAACACAGTTCTTTCCATGCTGCTTACTATAGTAAATCTTTTTGCTTGTGTTCTGCAGAGATTTCAAAACTTTGATCTCTGAGAAACAAGTACTTGTGCTCACCTGTTGCTCTCAAAACTCAGTTCAGCCTTTGTTTACATCTGTCAAGACTAAATAGAAATCAAGTCCTGTACCAGGTATCGGTTGATACATGACCCTCCTTTGATAAGTTTTCTTTGGGATTGTTTTGGTTGTTCTTGGGCTTATGTACTCACAATTCTCAGTCGTGGGGGATGCACTTGTGTGTAGCACTGAATGTTGGAAATGGCTTCTCTGTCTGGGATTCAAAGCTTGAGTTAATTGCAGTGGTCATTGCTTTAAAGACATGGTGGTTTTAGGGAAACGAGTTTTTTTTTTTAAAGAGATTCTGAGGATGTGCTGTGTTCTGTTTATGCTGACTTTGCCAACATGGGAACATAAACATAATAGCTTCACTTCTCATTGTTTTGGTTTAAGATTGTAAATTTCCAGGACAGCAATGTCAACTGTATATATGGAATCACATGTGTGTGAGTGTGTGTGTGTGTGTGTATATTTGTGTGTGTGTGTGTGTGTGTGTGTGTGTGTATGTATCCTCTCCCTTTATATAATATATATTTTTCTCCCTTGTATATAAGGACATTCTATATATACGTGTAACATATACACACATACATGTGCACATGCCCCTTTTTCTGTCCTAGAAATGCCTATGTATATAATATTGTAAATATTGGTTAAGTTCCTCTAGATCCGGAAATTACAACTAGACTTTTTTTCTTAATATATATTCTTAGATTGTGAAGTGGTCAGACTATTGTTCACCTTTGGCTTATAAATCTGGGGAAACATATAAATTAATTGCCAAAGCAAGTGTGGATAACTTCAGTAACCTTGGAATAGCATTCATGGAAGACAGACTTCAAATGGATAATGGAATGGTGCCAAACAAGATTGTTTGTAAGTATCCTCGTAAATCTTTTTATCTGTAGTGCAGCATACTAGTTTTACATTTATACTTATAAGTTCAATACATATATACAAAGAAAAATACTTTTGGCATATTAGTAGATATTATCCAGAAGGACAGTAAGTTGCTCATTTCAAAGGGAACATTTTAAGTTTCTTCCACTTAACACCTAACGTATATTGAAAATTGAAATATGTTGTTCAAGTTTGCCTGACTTGGAGAGTTTATTAAGTCTATTAGAAATTTGTATTAGAAATGCTAGCCAGAAAATTAATTGTTCAAGAAATCTTCAAAATAATACCATATTTAACCATTTATATTTAAATGCCCAGGTCATTACTGTGTCATACAAAAGCCAAAGTTGATGTCAGCAAAAATTTAGATTTATGATAATGTCCCTGAAGACATGAGATGCTGTAGCACAATTTTTTAGAAAAGTTAATGTAACAGTTGCAAAGATCAAGCTGACTAAATAATTTTGGCATGTAATTTATTTACTGAAATGTTGCTTTGGTTAACAAATTTGAGCCTAATTGTCTGAATAGCTTGATCTGGAAAGATTTCAGGCCTATGCTGTCAACATTGGAAAAGAAAATGGCAGTTCTCCTTTTATACCATAACATCTTAAGTGCTCTATCTGATCTGTGCAATTGAAAGTATACCCTCCCAGAATATTCGATCTAAACTATTGTTGCTGTTTTGCTGGTTTAATTGTTTATACAGTCTCTGAGCCATAAACCAATTTCCAGGAAGCTTGAATCCTCCCAGCTACCATGCTGAAATATATTCTGGGACTGGATGACCCCACTTCAGGCTTGAGCTTATCTGGAGTAATTGAATATCTGTGGGTTTCATGACTTCCTTTAGTAGTTGAAACTCCATTCATTAGAATAGGGACTTGCAACCTAGGTCCTGATTACAAGATAGTTTTCACCATTGCTGTTTGGATTACTGAATATTCATATCTTGGTAGTAAAGCTCCAGCAGGTGAAATTGAGGGACACCCATGTTATCTTGCAACATGTTGCCTAGGACATTCCTCTAAAAGGTGGGATCCCTTAGAAGGAGCCAGCAACTAGGGGTGTGCGAAATGGGCCGTATTCAATTTGGATTCAGATGTGGCCTGATCTGGGGGACAGCGATTCGATTCGTTGATTCAGATCACTGTCCCCAATTTGATTCATCCAAATCCGAATCTGAAGATTTGATGCTGATTCAGAGAATCAGCGATTTAGCCATAGACACATCTTTAAATGTTTTTTCTACGTACCTCGAGGTACCAGGCGCAGCTCGTGAATGCTGCAATGCTGGGGTTGATGGAGCATCCCGCAGGATCACGGGGGGCCCCCCAGCATGCTTGGTGGTGAACCTGGAAGTGGACCGG